CTAGCAAGCTTCATTTGAGGAAAGTTATTTTATAAGGAACAATTATCAATGCAGGGTGATAATGATAATATTAACATAGTTTATAACATGGATGAGGGCAAAAGAGATAGATTAGGATAATGTAATCCATAAGTGTAATCCAAGTGTAATGTAATCCGTAAGAGACCCTATCTATAAATTAGGATAATCATTGTAATTTGAGGGGGATATCGAAAAGAGAAGATAAGATCTCATGTTTTCATTTTTATTCTCTAGTTTCATAGCTATAAATCATCCTTATTTTAGCTCTTTCCTTGGTGTTGTAGAATTGCAGAAAATCATGATCCAACATCCTGAAAGGACTAATAAAGCAAGGTTGAAGCTTTCCACCCTAGCCAAATCTTATAACTCCATGCATATGTGAAACTTTAAAAAACATATGATCTCAAATTTTAAATTCATTCTCTTTTTGCTTATGGTCAAAATATATCCTTTGACCCTCCTAAGTTGTGTGTTGTTGACCTAGAATATGAAGATCCTTTTTAGAATCTTGATCAATTAGTTGAAGTTCAAAAAATTATCTCTCACTAATCTTGACCAACTTAAGGGTTACATGAATTTTCTTTTATAAAGAGCCTCGTATGGTGCAATACTAATGTTGAGCTTAAAGTTATATTCCACCATGCTTTTTTTTGCAAACTTGCCTCAATAAAATTTTCATGTCGCCTTTTACGCGTGAATAAGAAGCAGTAAACATGCATTTCATAATACATAGACTTTACACTGCAGTGTAACTATCAATCTAATTTACATATAAATGCACATGCAAATGGTTAAAGAAAAATCATTTGTTTTAAATTTGTATATATTATTCAATTGATGGTTTTGAATCAAGTGCCTTGAATTTGTTTTCGTGTGTAAACTATCTCACAATTACTTCTCATTTAAGTATTGAAATCTGCCACTCCGATTAGAAATTGATTCATTTAAAAAACTAAAATCCAAAATTTAAATCAAAGCACTAGCTAACCTCACATTTTTTCTTCCATTCCTCCTCTCCCACTCCTCATACTCTTCTTCATCTTCTTCTTCTCCTCTTGTTTTTCTTTTCCCTTCCCTTTTTCATCTTCTTTTCATCCCTTCTTCTCTGCGTCCTGCTCTTGTTTTACCTCTCTGTTTTAACTATTGGAGCTCAGGGGAGGGGAAATGAGAATTATAGATTTAATATTCATTTATTATATATATATATATATACTTATATATATAGTCTTAGAAAAATATTAAATAACTGATCGTATATCTTTCATAGTTTAAATGAAAGAGCACTACACGTCATGCCACGTATCTATCCCGAAAGATAAACACAAGAATTGAGGGTGAGGCTTAATCAAATAAACTAAGAAATATATGACATCTGTTTGGTCTAAGAAACCATTTTATTAATAAGCCGACAAGTTCCCCTATATAATATGAAGAATCAAATCTGGTTTATATTAAGTTGGGTTCGGAAAAGCTTCCTAAAATTAAGTGTAATCAAATAGGGTTTATATTAAGCTATAGTTAATTACATCTTAAATGACCGTAGTCACTCAAGAAAACTATAGATAAAAATCAAGGAGTATTACCTTGAAGGAGTTCAAAAGGATACCACTTTTTCAATGAGATCAGACAAAGAGGTGTGAAATATGAACGACTCAAATTTGAGACATTTATCGTAGAATATAAAGGAAGAAGAACTAGGGGATGTCATAGATTCGGAGGAGAACCTCAGTGACTTCCCAGTCTATCCTGTTATTTGGCTTTAGTTTTAAGGAGAAATTATTTAAATGTTTCATCCTACCAATTTTATTAGTTTAGGGCTGATATTCATATGAAACAACCACACAAATAGCCTGGAAGATGTGAGGATTTAGATCGAGACAAATGATAACCTCGGAATCCTAAGACGAGTTAGGGATTTTATTGTACAGCTGAGCTATACAAAAGGCCTAAAGATGAGTTGAGGATTTATGTTGCATAAGCAAACAAACTTGGAATTCTATGGATTGTTGTTTAATTCTAAGGAAAGATATAATGTGTTAGATCCTCTTGCTGATGAAGTTGGTTGTGCTGCCTACAATGCTAGCTTCAAGCTCCTCGTCATGATGAGTTTAATGTGTCAGGTTATGATGTCAAACTAAATGTTTCTATGGTTATGGTTCTTTAAATATTGTGGGGCATATTAAAGTTTATTAGAGCGATATTGGTTAGGATCCTACGGTTCTCTCATTTTGGTACCGCTATTTTCTTTCGGATTCACTTATTCAAAATGAAAAAAAAAATTTCTATTACCAACCCTATTGTTTTTTAATCTTTTGTGCCAAGGAGGAGCTAATAACTAATTTATTTACATGGTTTGAAGAATGCTTAGATTGTTTGCGGATAGTAGAATCCTATCACATGGAAGGAACATAATTCTTCAAACCTTTTTTTAGCACAACATGGTGATTTTAGAGTTAGTGATGGTGGTAAAATTGATATATTTGTAGGCTTACAACAAGTAAATATCACGCTCAATCGCCTCTATTTGAGCATCTCTTAGCTCTTGTGCTTGAGGCTTCTTCAAGGAAGTTATTGAAAGAGGACAGTACTTAGAATTTTTCAGAATCCTTTCTTGGAGCTTACCTTAGCTTTGCTCCATTGCCTCCTTCCTCTTAGTTGTCAACTCTCTCTATATCTTACAGTTGCAAAAAGTTTTGATTTGCCTTCGGGAATTTTGTGAGGATGTTGAAACTTTCCCACCTGATATTGCAACTTATGCTATGCATGGTAACATCTCGGTAATTTTTCAATTATAACTCAAAGGGATTAAATTAATATGTTCAAAGGATTGAAATAAATGATGTGAAAGATTGAGTGGAGTTAGGGACCCACTATGGTTATATCTTCTTATTTAACAAGTTTGTAACTTTAGCTCCTTGGTTACCTTCTTAAAGTTTGAATCCTCCTCAACAGCTTCAAAGTTCTCTTCCTCCAATGCTTCTTCCTAAGATTGCATAGCTTATGTGACAACCACTTTTCTTCTATAGAGGAGGTCGTCGGCTTGGATCTTTTTTGGTGCAAGGGTAAATAAAGTTTTTGTGACTAAACTTTGTGGCGACTATGATGGGGCTACCTTATGGTTCAGTATCACCAAAACTTTTGGGTCAATTAACTGCTTCATTATGGTAGTATTCATAAAATGAGTCACTAATGGACTATACAAGTCAATCTAAGAGTGTCATAAAGAATTTTTGGAAGGGGAGCTAGCATAAATCCATGAAGGGCCAGAAGATTGAATTCTAGGAGGAAGAGTGGACAAAGGAGGCATCACAAATTTGGAGTCATTTTTTCTTCATGGATGAAAATATACTTCTTGGAAGAAGGTTCTTTACCTGGATCATGAAGTATAAATATAATTTGGAACTTTTCTCATCATTTATATAATCATAAAGAGTAAGATCCATAAGCATGGAAACTAAGTCTAAGAATTTGAACATTAGGTCCAAATAAATTATAATCTTCAACTCCTTTGATATATATAGATGGCTCAAGTGGAGGGGAATTGATGTGGTTGCTATCTGGATTGTTAACTTTAAGGTCATCTTAACCATATAATTTCAGGATCAAGCATTAAAGGTAAAACGCAGGGTACGCATGTTAAACTATCAGGTAGCTCAACGGTTACTGAATAAACTTTAGTGGGGTTAGTAGATCTCATGCACAACTATCCATTAAGGTTTGGTGCTATCACAGAATAAAGTTTCACGTTTCCATGAACTATAGTTGTTGGGTACCAACAAAAGGTGTGGGGGTGCTATGTATAAGTCTAATTTTGATGCCAACAAAAGGTGTGGGGGTGCTATGTATAAGTCTAATTTTGATGCCAACAAAAGGTGTGGGGGTGCTATGTATAAGTCTAATTTTGATGCCAACAAAAGGTGTGGGGGTGCTATGTATAAGTCTAATTTAGATGCATCGAACTATTTGAAGGCTTACACTGCAATGACTATTCAAGGCGTTGTGGTCAGTTATGAGTGTAAGAGTTTTTATAAGTTTATTGAAAAAGCTCAAGGGAGACAAAAAGGGTGGGAACTTTGGGATCATGGCCATATTATATTTAGGATTCCAGGTCTCGCTTTTTGAAATCACTTTGGGTGATCAGAGAATAGAGTGAATGAAAGATAGATGGGGTTAATCACAAGGAAATAGAAAAAGCTCTTGGAAGTTAAGTTGTCATTAACATCACCAGCATTTTCTTCAATCATCAACATAGCTATTTTTTTCTGATGGACTAAATTCTGAAAGATACTCTTATTTTCTATCAATTTCCTTTTTTAATAGGGTAAAAATTAAATTTCTGAAAGTTATTCAACATTTCTTTTGTCTTGAGACCAATATTTTTTATTCTTTAAAATTATTTATCATTTGAAGAAGCTGTTTTGGCTGGAATAGATCACTTTATTCAAGATTGTTTTTACAGATCTCAGCACCGCTTGCCTCAGATGTCTATTAATCCAATTCTTTGAATACAAGGAAGAGTAAAAATATCTAAAAAGCGCAGTTTTGAATAACAGTGATCTCATTTGTATTGGTTACGCAAATGCTTAGCCCGAAAGAATCATGCATGTTGCAAGCGTAAGATACAGTATATATGATCACTATTTCTTAATAATGGTACAAAATAAGTTAAAAGTGGAGATGGAAGATAAGGTTGCATTTTCTGTCTCCTCTTAAATGGATATTGTTAGGCAACCGTACATAAAACTTTGTGAAACTATCAGATCTTTATTTCTATTTTACCATACAATCATCCTTTTGTTAAGATTGTATCATGAACATTTTTTTGGGAGTGACTCTTGAACTTTGTTATGCTATACCCATTGACTTTTATATCTATGGTATACTTGAAAAAGTATCATGTTCACAGACTGAATATATTTGTTAATTTTAAATAATAAATTCTCTTTGTGAAATTACCAATTTTACTATGATGGTTTCAGGTAGAGGCAAAAATCCTTGGAGAGGTTCAAGATCTGCCGAAGTGCTTGGAGCGTGAAAATAAAATTATCCAAACCATAATGAGGCAACTTCTGTTCGCTCTTGATTCACTTCATTCGACAGGGATTGTGCACAGGGACATAAAACCGCAAAACGTAATATTTTCTGAAGGTTGTACATATTACTTCAGTACTTATATAATACTGAAAAGCCTGTTATTTTAAGTAGAAGATCGCTCAATACCTCAATTTTTACATTTTTATGCAGGGTCACGCACATTCAAAATCATTGACCTTGGAGCAGCAGCAGATTTACGCGTTGGCATTAATTATGTTCCGAAGGAGTTCCTTTTGGATCCACGGTACTTTGCGTTGAGAAGTGCTATTATGAGAATACTCTATCTTATCTTTGAGTGTTTGTCATTTTAGGCTTATTCCTTGTACATCTTTTTATGCTACCCATACTCATACTGAAGTGTATAAAGTTTTGAAGTTGAAGCTAGAGAAACAATTAGAAATATCTGAATAATCCAGCACATTATTCTGGAAGTGTATACAATTGAAATTGTCTTTCGGATTGAACACCAAGTGTTTGGAAAATGCAGAGAAAATACATTTAGGTGCTTTGAGGTCATATTATGAATGTTACAAATCGACACTTGTTTATATTGTCTAGGTATGCTGCACCTGAGCAATATATTATGAGCACACAAACCCCATCCGCACCTTCTGCTCCAGTTGCAACTGCATTATCCCCTGTCTTGTGGCAGGTTGTATAATTTCTTTGATGTGAGCAAGCTTCATTTCTTCTTTGCTTCTATTTCTCCTTTTGACTTCTCTTCTAATCACTTTTCTTTCAAACTCAATCAAATTCTAAGTTCTTTCCGTATTTTATTTTTTGACAGATGAACTTACCAGATAGATTTGACGTATACAGCTTGGGACTTGTATTCTTGCAGATGGTGAGTAGCTAACTCCAGGGGCATTTGCATACCCACCACCCAATTCCTTTATATTTACATATCTAACACGTAAACTTTACTTTTAACATTTATACCTCCTAAATCTCTCATATCATATAAAAAATGCCACCATTTTAACTTTTAAAAAGTGAAATACACCCTTTTGTGTGTAAATATTGAAAGCTTAGTTGTTAGATATGTAAATACATAGGAATTGAGTGGTATGCATGTAAACATTCCATTATAGTGCCCTTTTGCTCATTCATTATAAGGTACATGGATTTCATGGCAGGCATTTCCGTCATTACGAAGTGATAGTAGCCTCATACAATTTAACCGTCAATTAAAGAGGTGTGGATTTGATCTCGAAGCATGGAGGAAGATGGCTGAACCTCGCGCTAGCTCTGATCTGAGGAAGGGTTTTGAACTTTTAGATTTAGATGGTGGGATTGGCTGGGATCTCCTAACCTCCATGGTTCTATATAAAGCACGTCAAAGAATTAGTGCAAAAGCTGCATTAGCTCATCCTTACTTCAACCAGGAAGGTTTATTAGGTCTATCTTACATGCAGAATCTGAGGCTGCAGTGGTTTCGTGCAACTCATCAGGATTACAGTGAAGCTGCTCAGTGGCTAGTTGGTCTTATGGCAAAATCAGGCACTAAATCAGGAGGAGGTTTCACAGAAGTACAACTTCAGGAGTTGAGGGTAAATATAATCATTCTAAGGGCAATATAATGCATACATGCAAAGTGTTAGGTAGATTGATTGTGTTTGTCTTTGTATTTGTTACAAAATCATAGTGTTGAATTTACAGGAAATAGAGCCAAAGAAAGGGAGTGAGCAGAGGAATGCGCTGGCATCGTTTCTTCTTCTCCAAAGGAAAATTGTTAAAACACTCGGCGTGAGCATGGAGGAGATAACCAGGCAGAGTAAGAGGATATGGTGGAGCAGGTGGATTCCCAGGGAAGAGTAAGGAGTTTTATGATACCGATTATGTAAATTTTGTGCAGAGTTAATGATGTTAGAAGAATTTTCTACCAGCATGTTTCTTAACTATGCAATTATACTGCAGCATTTTCTGTGTGCTTGAGGGTCACCTTATTCTGTCCATTCTTTATATTTATATTAGTGGAAATAAATTATGGCATTTTAAACAAAGATGGTAATGCGTTGGCCTGCAATTTGATTAGTTGACTGAGTTTCATGCAACATTGCCTTCATGCCTGCAAGAAATTAACTCTCTGATGAGGAGGTTAGTAGGATATTTTTCTTTCCACACACACACAACACACATAAATATATATAACATGATGAAATATTGTGAACATACAAATTTATAATTTTAAATGTTAATATTGGGGAATATATCATATTTGTATATCGAAAGCCAAATAATTCAATAAGATCAGATTGGGTTTTGTTGCCAAAGTGGGAACCTGCACCCAATCTAAAACTAGTTAAGGAGCAGGATGTCTTAATCCATTTAAGGGCGACTTACACCTAAACCTCAAGAAAGATTTGAAATTTCCTGATCATATTAAGATGGAAAGCATGGAGAGTCACATCAAACATGAAAGGTGATTAGGGTGATTTGACAAATCAGACTTTGCTACCAATGTGGGACTTACATCAAAACTGAAACTAGTCGAGGAGAAGAATGCCTTAATCTATTTTAGGGAGCCTTAAACCTAAACCTTAAGAATGATTTGAAATTTTAAAAGATTTGGAGAGGAACATGTAAAAGGGTACGGTTATATAAAATAAAACTAGCTAAAAGCCCTTTCAGAAGGTGAAAAACTAGGAGTTTCTATGGAAGGAAGCCCTAGTTGAAGAAGAATGACACTAGCATAAGATTGAAATTGTTCAATCCAACTAGGTTCAAAAATCTGAAAGGAATTTATTTTGAAACTTTCACGTTTTATTATATTTTCTTGTTTTTATTTTTTATTTTGTTTGTTTGTTTCTTTGTTCTTTTCTTTCCTTTGTTATTTTTATTCATGTTTATTTATTTGTTTCTTTGTTTGTTTTGGACATTTTTTATTTGGTTTTCAATTTCAAATTTATTAGGCCCAGTAATAATTCATTTTATTTCTTTTTTCTTTGTTTGTTGTTTTCTTTTACAATTTGTTTCATTTTAATTTTATTTGATATTGTTTTGCTTTATTTTATTTTGTTTTATTTCATTTTGTTCTTTTAGTTCATCAACACTCATTTTATTGCTGGGAAATATCCAGTTATTGGCATTTTAGTCAATTGTGTTATCTTCTATCACAATAGCTGCAAATAGGTAATTAATGGCAATTTTTGTTAGAAAAGTGAAATCTTCTTTGTTGATGTCCTGAAAAAGGTGTACAAATTGATCTGATGACAGTCATACCATCCAAGTGTTGACCTCATTTTTGGTGAGGTTTATTCCTTCTATAGAGCCTAGGATTTAACCATAAGACTTTATGTTGACTCCCCAGAGGATCACTGAGGGGACCCACCCCATTTAGAAATTTAAACCACTTCTTCAGTCTTTCATGTCTCGTATGTGTGGTTTCAAATTCTCAACAGTCAGTGGAGTTGATTGGAGCATACATATTGAAAATCAGGTCGAGTTTCTATAAGGATAATAGAAGCCCTATGATGACCTCTTGGGCTTAGCATGCTTCGATCTTTGAAGCACCACATGCACATACACGTCAACATACATGATACACATAAACACCACAATTCATGCACAATTCACTTGTCAAAAATCTAAAACAAATTTTAAATAAAATAAAGACCCTTGTAGTACAAATTTTAGATCCTTCGACACGGGTTGAACGATTCGCTGTCGAAAGCGTTTTGCTAGACTTTGGTCATCGCTCAGGCAATGATCAGTCGACATTTTGCTTGTTGGACGACTCTGATCAAATTGACGAATATCATTCACAGCGCCGCACGCGAATGAGACTTAAATCTACCTGATCATCGATGAACTTGTCAAATAACCTCAAATGATAAAATGGACCATGCAAGTGTGTCTGGAACGTCAAATTCATCTAGGGAGGACACCTGTTTCGCTATAGTTTCGCACACCAGTGAATTGCACTGAAATCAATGTATATAACTTATAATTAAAAATAAGGAGCATTCCCCCTCACCTGCTCCTTCTCCTTCGTTGACCTCCTATCCTCTTTGTCTGACATCCTTGGCCTGAAACTTTCCTTTCTGAAGCCTACGCCTGCTTCACCTCTTGGGATGACAGGCCTCCATGGTCCTCTGCTTCTTACTTGGGTAAGCATTGACCCTTCGAGCTTGTCTCCTCACAACACTCAATTGGCTAAGCCTCCTCTTTCTTGATATCCTCGGCTCCCCAGGCTTCTCGGTATGAGACCCTTGCGATACACCTAAAATATATAACATTTATGTGCACATTTTTATACCTATTTTTGATGAAGATATTTGTATGTTTTTCTTTCAGGTACAGTCAAAATGATGAAAACTGATAAAAGTAGTACAAAAAGATCAAATTTAGAGAAAAAATGAAGAAGATGTGCAAAAGAACTCTGACGCCTAAGCGCCCAGAAATGGCGCCTAAGCACCACATATCTCGTGCTTAAGCGCCAGAGGTAGTTACCTGATGATTCGATGAATTTGGACGAATTTTTAAAGGGGTGTTTGAAGCAACTCTTGGTGAAAACGTGGGATATGGTTAATGGACATGAAAATACATTCAAATGACTTTTGAAAGGAGACAACTCTTGGAAGATTCATTGAATGTGGACATATTTTATAGAGACACCAAAATACCTTTTGGAAAATTATAAAAGAGGATTTGGATTAGATTGAATGCACCCCCCTCAAGGAGACTCAATTTGTCGATGACGCCTATCTCTCATAGATTAATTAGGATACTTTTAGAGAGAAGGAAGGGATGAGTTATAGTGTATTAATAGAGAGTATTGTAAGAGAAAGGAAGAGAAAATATTCAAATGAACTTTAAAAGTTTGGTGGAGAGGAATTTGAGATAAGTTTTTTTCTTTGTGACTACAGTTGGTTTTAATTTAGACTTCTTGTTTGTTTACATGATTTTTACTTTTAAACTTAAGTGTGGTTGTGTTTTCTCCATGAATTCTAAGTAAATTTCTTTTTTTTTTCCTTAAAATGATAAGTGATTAAGTATTAGATGAAAGTTGTGAGGAATATTAGTCTTTATTGTTGGAATAAGTTGTGATGATTTTAAACCTTGTACTTCATTTACTTCTTGATTTGACCAATTATGATGTTAATATTTGTTGTGAGGACATATAAGATCCGAGATGGTAGTTTCAGTCAATTAATGGTAAAAATCACATGAGATTGTATGAATGAGAATGTAATTCATATAGTTGAGTGTAAATAAATATGGAAATAAACTTTGAAGGGTGTAGAGTTAGAGGACTTTAGAGTGACAGACTAAAGCCCCCAATTCGATTTATTGTTTTAGGTTTTTATACAAGATGTTAGCCCCCAGGTGGGGGGAGAAGAGTGAACTTTAGAGTGAGAGCTAGTATCTTCCCTACCCAGCCCGTCTTCAAGACTATTCAACTTTAAATTAGACAATGTTCTTTATAGTATCTCTAGTAAGAGTAAAAAATAATACTGTTCTTATTTGACACAAAACAATTTGAATATTTCCACAACAGAATTCTTATACTTGTTACTGATCATGATAAAGAAAAAGATTATTTATTTATATTGTCTTAATCTTACAAATATCTAGTTAAATTTAGTAACTGTTTACTTTAAATGTTCAATTATCAAAAATTACCAAAAAGATTCAAACTTTCATTCCTATTTTAGCATCTATAGTTTGAGTAAGAATATTTTTTAAAGTAGAGTTTGTTATCTAATTTCTTATTAAAAGATTGTAATTCTCTTATGTGGATTTGATATTCGGGGTTTAATAAAAAGTCATATATTACTTGATAACTAGGGGTGTAAACGAGTCGAACACGGCGAGCCCAGTCCCAGCTCCTGTCCGACTCGTTTATATTTCAAGCTCAAAAAGTGTGTTCGTGTTCGACTCATTTGCTTAGCGAGCCGAACACGAGCCGTTCACGAATAAGAGGAAGAAGTTGAATCTAAATTAATAATTTTTATTCTATTTTCTTCATTAATAGTTTTAATTGATTATAAATCTTTGTAGCCTTGCAGTCAATTAAATTTTTTAAAAGTACTACTCCTCAAAGATATATATATATATATATAATTGATTAATAGTATTTCGAGCCGAACACGAACGAACAAATATTTGTTTGTGTTGTTCGTGTTTGGCTCGTTAACTTAGCGAATGAGCCAAACACGAGCTGTTCGCGAACAACGAGCCGTTTTGACAGCCCTATTGATAACTAAAGTAGGAAAATTCAAGCTATTAAAAAAACCCTCCCCTTGTAATGAAATTAGTACTTAGTGTAGGTGTAGAACAACTAGATAGCTAATTAAATTTGTGACAAATAGGAGCATGCATTTTCTTTATTCTTTTCCAAGTACATAAAGAAATTAGGTTAACCAAGGAAGTATTTATGTCTGTCACCCTAGAAACCTCCTAATTACCCCCGGTAAAATTATCTCCCTGTATATTTGCACTGCTCTACAGATCACTTTTTCTTCACCCTATAAATCAATGTGATTTTTACTAGTTGTTGAAGCTATAGCCCTGCCGGATCTTATCGATTCACAACAGATTTTAACACATCAACTGACCAAATTGAAATATAAATGAAGCTTAAAGTAAAAACCATCACAGTTAAGAATAAAAATTCATTCTAATTGAATTTACATCATACAAATGATACTATTTCATCACAAGAGGAAGGAGAAAAGAAATTACTCAGAATACATGAAGAAAACACCATGACACATCATCTTATATCAAATCAAAGTTTTACAATATGCAATTACTTAATACAAGACAATGAAAAGCAAAAGACTTATCTTCTTCCTTGAGAATAGAAGATATAACTCCTCCAAATGTGATTTCCAAGTTCTTGCACTTCTACAACAATTCCTTACAATTGACCCAGATCTCTCAAATTAAATTACATAAAAGAATCGAAATCTCACCCTTCCTTTACTTTCCTGCAATCTTTTCTTAACTTCTCAGACTTCTCTAATTGTTCTCTCCTATGTTTAATCTGCTTCCCCCTCCAAATAACTCC